GGATGTAAAAAAAAAAAAAATGCCATATTATTCATGGTTTCCAATGAGAAATTATATTATCACATTGCATTCTCTCAACCATTCAATTCTTATTATTATTATTATTATTTTAACCATTCAATTCAGAAACAAAGGGCTTTATATTTTACACTTGGTTTTGATTGTGTTTATAAGAAATCTTTTTTATAACACACTTATTTTAAAATATAAATTTATTATTCATAATTAATTTTTTATATATTTTAATTAATTTTTTATATTTTTAAAATAATAAAAATAAAAAATTTACGATTATAACTATAGTTTAACACAGCACAATATTATTAAAATAAAACTTTAATTTATTAACATAGGTGCTTCCATCACTTTCACAAGCATTTTTAAATTTAATGATTAAGTAGTGTTACATCACCTAAAACTCAAAAATATTTGAATTAGAGTCATAGACTGATAGACATATCTCCTAAAATTTAGGTGTAGAAAAAAAATTGCTTATAAAAAGAAGTGTATGAAAAAAAATAGTAATTTATCAATTTAATAAATTCTAAAAATTCGGAATATTTCTAACATTATTTCTATCATGAAATCATACACTCAATCAATTTTTCACGTTCTTAAGGTAATGTGGACGGTTGGGATTAAACCTTCCGCACAACATACGGCTGGATGGAACCACTCGTTTTTTTACTGATATAAAATTATTCCTATTCATTTTAGCCTTTCAATTTTTTTTCTTTTTATTTTAAAGTTTTCGCGGTTACGTCCCCAAATTCTTCTATCTTCATCCGCCATCAACAATCTGAATCCATAGTCGGAATCCTCATCGCCGGCAGCTCGCCGTTCGCCTCCTCGCTTTGCTTCGTCTTCCTCTCAATGCTTTCTTTCCGAAACTGTTATCGGTGTCCGGAAAGTTGTCTCCATTGCTTCTGATCTTTTACTCCGGTCTTGTTCCGATGAGGTTTTGAGAAGCAAGGATTCGTCGAATTCAGCTTCGGAGAAGTAAATCGAGCGGAGTAGTTGTGTTTTGGTGGCTCAATTGAGAGAGCCTTGCTTTGTCAGGTCAGTATTGAACTTTGAATTTTCGTTTTTTCAGTTTTTTGGTTTTGTTTTCTGTGGAACCAAACATTAATCTGCAGCAAAGCTTTGAGCAATAGGCCTGGCTTTCTTTGCCTTTGCTTCTTTTCTCTGTTTCAGTTGCTTAAACATTTTAATTTGAGTTGCTTTCTTTTGGCCAATGTGAGTGAAAGTGGGCGATACACATTTTTCTTCATTGGGTTTGCTTTGCATCCGGGATTATTAATTTATTATCAACTGA